AGAGTGAACTGAGCAGAAAGGTTATTTAAAACGTACGACTTGATCCAGAAGCTGAAGAATGCATTCATTCCCCGGGGAATCTAAAAATAGGTACTACTCACAACCTGAGTCTCTTCTACTTTATCTGCCTGTTTCTCCCTCGGGGGTTACATTCTCTCTCTTTGGGAATGTATTTGTTTTCCTTTTCTTTCTTGTGTAAAGATGAAAGTGCAATCTTTTGACCAACAATACCAAATAAATATTTCTAGGGGATGGGGCTGAAGCTCAGTGGGAGTAGTTGCTTAGCATCCTTGACATTCCATCCTTAGCACCACCAAAAAACCCAAACAAACCAGAAACCAAATAAATATTTCCATTCCAAGAACTCTGGATAGAACACCTACTTGCACATTGCCAGAACATCTGATTTCTTGAACTACTTGCTCTAAAACTAATTTAATGAACTCTAGTACCGTTTGTTGTCATTTATATCACAAACTATACTGAACAGAGAATATCTGCAACAGATGCTCTGATAGTGAGAAAGGAAATAGGAGACTAGAAGGGAAAAGCGTGGGCTCTATGCAAGACAATATCGCTTAGGAATATCATGACTTTTGTTTGCCCAGACTGGCCTTGAACTCCTGGGCTCTATCCATTCTCCTGTCTCAGCCTCCTGAACAGCTGGACTTACAGGCACACAGCATCCACAACCTTTCTAACCCTTAATTTCCCATCTATAAAATGAAGACAGTGGCACCTGCCCTGCTGTCTTCAGAATTATGAAGCTCAAAAGAAATCAAATATGAGAAAGTACTAAGAAGTCTGCAAAAGACACACAAATGTACCAGTGATCATTTTATCTTGACAGATCTTCCCTTTTTTTGGCAGTACTTGGGTTTGAACTCAAGAGCCTCACACTTGCTAGGCAGGCATTCTACCACTTGAACCACTTCACCAGCCCCTTTTTTGTGATGGGTTTTTTTGAGATAGGGGCTCACAAACTAGAACTATTTGCCCAGGCTGGTTTTGAACCATGATTCTCCTGATCCCTGCCTCCTGAGTAGCTAGGGAATTACAGGAATGAGCCACCGGCACCCAGCAGATCTTTGGCTGGGCATGATAGAGCACTCCTATCATCCGAGCATTCAGGAGACTGAAGCAGGAAAATCATAATGCTAGGCTAGCCTGGGCTACAAAATGAGCCCCTGGCCTAACAACAAAAACCAAAGAAGCCTTTATTTCCAGAGAAAACTGAGGCCAAGAAAGAGACAATTGTTAGGTGCCAGTGGCATAAGCCTGTAATCCCAGCTACTAGGGAGGCTGAAATCAGGAGGATTGCAGTTTGATGCCAGCCCAGGCAAACAGTTCACAAGACTGCATCCCCAAAATAACCACAGCAAAATGGACTGGAGGTGTGGCTCAAGCGGCGGTGCCACATTGCTACAGTTAAAAAGCTTGAGCTCAGCTGGGTGTTGTTGGTTCATGCCTGTAATCCTAGCTACTCAGGAGGCAGAGATCAGGAGAGCAGTGGTTCAAAGGCAGCCCAAGGCAAACAGTTCACAAGACACTATCTCGAAAAAACCCATCACAAAAATAGGGCTGGTGGAGTGGTTCAAGGTATAAGCTCTGAGCTCAAACCTCAGTTCCAAAAAAAAAAAAAAAAAAAAAGCTAGAGCCCAGGTACTCAGCGAAAGCTTCCAATGTTTCCTATCCCCATAATGCTACATGACAAATCAGCACATGCCATCTCTGAAAGAATAAAAGTACTCCCACCATCCTGTTCAGAACTGTGGTCTTGCAGAGGTGTTGGTGACTCAGAAAATACTGATCCTTCGTTGTCATATTAATTCTAAAGTAAAGGGAAAACATGACTTCCCCATTATCAAGCCTCCCAACCAGTGAGTTTTCTTTATTAACAACACATGGGGGCTGGGGTGGAGGGTAGAGGTATAGCTCAGTGGTAGAGCATGTGTTTAGCATGTGTGAGGTCCTGGGTTCAATCCCTAGCACACACACCCCAAAAATAATACCAATAAAACAAAATAAACACAAGGATCAATATGTGGATAGTGTGCTCTCTGTCAGACACCAGGGAGTCAAGCTTTTCCCAGGCCAGGAAGATTTGGCAGCTTTCATCATTTCTAACTCTCAGAATGATGGAGACAGAAGAGATTAAGGGATACAATGAGTTTATTCCTGGTGAACTGACTCAGAGGACAGGAAGCAAAGCTGCCTAAGGAAATTCTAGTGTGAGCAACTTAATCCTACTGCAGAATTGCTCTCTAACAGGAGAACCAAAGGAATTATCCAGACTCTGAAACCCTCAAATATTTAGAAGAATGGTAGCTTCACTTCCTCCTCTGAGAAATTCAAGCATTCTTTCTCTTTTGGTAAGAACAAACATTGACTGTTTCTTTCAATGGGCAATAAAACTAGAGAAACTGCATAAATGTCCATGGGAAAGAATGAGAAGCCAGAAACAAAACTATTTAAAAAAAAAAAGTCTGAATCGTTCTGCTTGGAACAGAAAAGAAAGTTATTGAAAAGATTATTTTTTCCTTTCTAGGTTGTGTGAGGCCTTCACACTTGAAGAAATACATGCATGTCAGACATTATTAGTAACAAGATTGGCCAGGCTGTACGCTGGTGGCTCACGCCTGCAATCCTAGCCACTCAGGAGGCAGAGATCAGGAGGATCTCGGTTCAAAGCCAGCCTGGACAAATAGTTCACAAGATCCTATTTCGAAAAACGCATCACAAAAAAAGGGCTGGTGGAGTGACTCATGGTATACGTCCTGAGTTCAAACCCCAGTACCAAAAAAAAGACTGGCCAGGACAAAACTTCCAGCCACAACTATTCATATTTCTAAAGAGAAATCATAACACACAGACAAACCACAGACCAGGACTTTCTTATGCAATTCTAAGTCACAACCTCACAACATACTGGGAGCCACATTTTCAATTCTGAATTATTATTTTGGTGGGACTGGGGTTTGAACTCAGGGACTGGAGCTTGCTTGGCAGGCGCTCTACCACTTGAGCCACGCCCCCAGCAATATTTTCAATTCTGTACTAACAAATGTACTCTGTGTGTGTGTGTGACTGGGCTCGTACCCAGCATCTTGCACATGCTAAGCACACATTCTCTGCCACTGAGCTACACCCTCCCCAGCCCCTGTACCCCTAACAAAAGGCTCAAATAGAGCCTAAGGCCCAACTAATCTGCTCTATCATCTCTAGGGAATCAACAATACAAAGGTCCTGAGTGCGGTTTCAAATTTCATCTCTAATTTTCACTACATATTCCACATATAGGGAAAAACATTAAGTTTGCTTGTTAATGGTTTTACTTTGTTGAAAATAAATCTACCTGGAAGCAAAAGGCACATAACTTGAAGAAAAAAAAATTACAGGAAACTTAAGTCAGATGTTATCCTCATAATGAAATCAATGTATTTCATCAAAAACATTAAATACACAATCCGGGGACCAGGGGCATAGGTCAAGTGGTACAGCGCCCTAACAAGCTGAGCTCCTCCACCCCCAAAGAAAACACTCACAACCCAAGACAAAAAAAGCAAGAGACATCCACTGCCTCTTAGTGACACAAGCGTTAAGTAATGACAGACAGTTGCACTAACATTACCTAGGGTAGGAGAAACACTTGGTGACTCACACATTCCCCTTTCATGTCAATTTTAAAAATTAAAGAGCTGGTTTCTTCCAGAAGAAAAAGGGGGGGGGGTGACTTTGAAATTAAGCTTCAGTGCCAACAAATTAAAGAAACAATTTAACCTCCAGACCCCATTTTTAAAGTCAATTCCAGTTTTCCCCTAAAATCATGAGTCATATCAAACACCTGATATCCATGAAATGTGCTGCTTTAAATTCATTCTGAAAATGGGCATGGTGGTACATGCCTGCAATCCTAGCACTCGGGAGGCAGAGGAAGGAGAATCACTAGTTTGATGCCAGCTTGGGCTACATAGTGAGACCCTTAGTCAAAAAAACCAACCCTCCCCAAAACATTATTTTTGAGAACTCACAAGAGAACAAGTATCATCTGAATTGCACCAGAGACCCTGGTTCTTCCTAGCACTTATCCCTGCAAATGTAGATTTTTTTGTTCAACCTGAAAAAAGGCGGAGTGAACAAATTTCAGAGTGTCACTCAAACAGAACTTGATGAAGGAGGGAAGTGGAGGGTCTCTACCCCAACGCCTCATTTGTAACTTTGCCAAGGGTGGTTTAGAATCCTTTAACTATCTCCTAGATTAAATATCAGCGAAATCCTTACACGCCAGGTCTGTCCGTGCTGTGGTAATGGAAGAAAGAGCTCAGAATGCAGTTCGCGTGTACGACTTAAATCCTCAATGCCAAAGTTTACTCAATGAGTTCACAAGGCTCCCCATTAACTTCTCGTTAACCTAGTTAACAAGAAATGGACAGGCTGAGACTTCCAGCCGTTCTCCTTCGCTGAATGCAAGCAGAAAAACAGGGGCCCGGCATAGAAAGATGGGTACAAACAAGGAGAGTGAACATGCAAGAAGACAGACGGTCCTGGAAAGCAGAGGGAAGAGAAAGACTCACTTTGCGCGTTCAGCCTCGGACCGTGTTTCCAAGCAGTGGCATTAGCGCCCATTACTAAGCATCACCCGCCGCCTGGAAAGACCTCGTCGGATCTCTGTAGGGACTGGGCCAGTGAGTGCGTGTCAAGAAAGGGACATCTAAGGCCCAAAGTGTACAGGCGGGCTTGTAGGGGAAACTGCGAGTTCCCGAGCGGGAACCTGAACTGGGAGTCTGAGTCCCCCTCCCTGCCGTCCCCCTTCACAGAGGGGGTTCTCAGGACTGGGATCGCCCCCCGTCGCGCCCTCGGTCCCTCGTGACCCCACCCGAACACCCCCCCCCGCGCCCTCGGCCCGCGGAGTTGCAGGACGGGACCTCCACTTTCTCACTTCGTTCCAGCACCCCACCTCCGCCCGCTCAAGAGAAGGCCAGCTGCCATCGCCCTCTGACCTGTCTCCGTGGAGTCCAAGCCCATAGCGCGACGCCTCCATGCCCGCCGGTCAGTCAGTGGCACCCAGGTCCAGACCCCTAGACGCCGCTGCTAGGGTGGCACGTCTGGCCGGCAGCCCGGCCCCGCCCCCTGGCAACCACACCTGGCACTGTCGCCGCCGCCTATTGGCCCGCCTGCGAGCTGCTCTTCTCTCATTGGCTGTTGGCGCCAGCCGGCGATGCGGGAGGGTTTCCAGGGGCGGGAGCAGCGCCAGCAGCACAGGCGCCTGCGCCAGGGCAAGGAGGACGCGCCCGGGCTTGGTTCCCCCGAGCGAGGCGCTGAGCCGGGACTGAGGGCGGACGGATGTGTGTTCAGCTGGTCGGTCTTGCGGACGGAGAAGCCCATCCCCCACCGACAGCCACACACGGAGCGGCTCCTCGCACCCCCATTGCAAGGAGACCACCCAGAGCGCTCCCAGGGTCTGTCCTGCGGGCTTTGCAGACCTCTGTCGCTGGCTCTCTGGCGGGCCGGCCCCTTCCCTGATACCAGAAGCCTTGCCGAAACTCAGTGGCAAAACTCAGTGGCGAAACTCATCACTGAGATCATCCCCAGACCTCCTCTGTGGTCTCCCCTAAAGTACACTCTTCCACCAAACTCTGCCGCCCGTGAGCCATCCTCAAGCGTCTTTAACCCATGAGAACCGCGATCTAAGCCTATCCTCTTGGGCCAATAAATCATGTCCCCAACCTTCAACATATACCTCGCATTACAGTCCCTACAGAACTTCCTGACAAGTGACTGCACATAGGCTTTCTAGCATTCCGAGGTCAAAGTTTTCACACTGGTTTGGAATTCAGAATTTTTTTTTTTTTAGGAGACAGAGCACTTGGCACAAGCTAGGAGAACTGAGCCTTTGCACGCACTCGGTAAGTCTCCACTCACTGTGACCTTGAACGTGGTTCCTTCAGATTCCCATCTATAAAAAGGACAGCGTAATTCCTGCTTGTTCTAACTGGGGCGGGATGCTGAATGAATAGGGTTGAATGAGAATTCTATGTGTGAGAAAAAGGACCAGGGAGACATTTTGTTGACTGAACAGCATTTCACTCGTTAGCATAAGCAGTATTCTAAAACTCCACGTTTATTTACATATAAAGAGTTACTATAAGAACCATTTTCCTATTCTTTTTAATATTTACAGTTTTTCCGTTGGAAGCAAAAACTCAAAATACAAACCTAAGTGACTCACGTCCCTGATCTTCCCTGGCCCCACTGTACTAGAAGGGAGCTCACTGTCCTCTGAACCAAAGTTACAGAAGCAGCAGTCAAACATAAAAAATCAGAGTTTAAAGAAACAAAATACAAGAACGAGTTAGTCTGAATTAGAATTAAAGGATTCATAACAAAGGAAACAAGAAAGACCTTTCATGGATGGGCAGTACTACTGCATTACTGAAGAAGAAAATAAAAATCACCTGTTAGCTAGGAGCCAGTGGCTCACGCCTATAATCCTAGATACTCAGGAGCAGAGAGCAAGAGGATCAAGGTTTGAAACCAGTTCAGGCAAACAGTTCCTGAGACCCTATCTAGAAAAAACACATCACAAAAAAGAGGCTGGTGGAGTGGCTCAAGGTGTAGGCCTCAGTTCAAGCCCCAGTACCACAAAAAAAAATCAACTGTTGTATCAAATTGGCCCTACCTAGGGATCCAACCACAGTAAAAATTATTTCAAAAGGTAAGATGAGTAAAGGAACAAACTACATCCTGACAGAAGTAGGTTTCTCTAAAAACTTTCTGCAACTATTTATTTACATACATCTTAAACACTACAAGATATTGGAGATTTTTAAACAGTTAATGCAAGAAAAATAGGAAGCAAACAGTTCATGACATTAACCTCAATTGTTTATGACACAAAGTACTTTAAAAAGCAAACCTGGGAAGTAGATTCCCTTACAATTCTAGGGCTCTAGTTAAACCTTTTTCCTTTTGATGTTATTCCAGTTTTACTTTTTCAATATGCTATCTTATGAGCCAGAAAAGTAACTTTAGCAACTCTACAAAAATCAGCAAGAGATCTTTTTGAGACTGCTGATAAGGCTGATGTCTGAGCAACCAGTCAGCTTTTCGCAAGGAACTGGCTTCTGCTCAGTTTCCCTTTCTCCTTGAGATGGGCAAACAGGTGCCTTCGCCTCCTCCACGTGACCTTTATCCCATACTTGTCCTCAGGGGTGTCTTTAACCAGAACAGGCCCAGGCTCAGGGCTCTTGGTTGTTCCTGTGTGAAGGATACAGCGTGGAAGGCTGTTTTCTCGCTGATCTGGGGGTATGGTGTTGTCTTTCACAGATGATTCTGGGGTCTGAATATCAGGTGGTGTGCACACATAAGGTAAGCTTTGAAGGGCATGTACTGACAGGTCCCCACAGCTCTGGGGACTGAGCACTGGAACTAAAGGCCTTCTTCTGGAAATGTTCTTTTCTGACTGATTGGAACTAGAAGACTGTGGTCTTTCAAAGGCTAGATGTGGAAACTTGCGGGTAGATTTTCGACTTGAATGTTTTGGACGGTCTCGGTGATGATGTTTCTGAGGGGCCAGGAGTCTGTTTTCTGCTGTGGTGTCAAACTGAGGTGTTACCTGAGGATCCAGAAAAACGGTGGGATGAGTAAACTATCAAGTATCTAAGAGAAGAAACTACAGGCAGTGATCCAATGAATATAATACTTGTTTTATTTCTGGTCAGAATCCTAAATGGGGGCCCATAACTGTAATGGATACAAAACAAAAAAGCTGTCTAATGAGACAATAATTGGAAAAAGAAATGCACTTCAGGCAAGTTATTTAATCTCTCTGGCTTTTAATTTCTTCATGTGTTAAGAAAGGGGACAGGTACCAGGTGCCAGTGGCTTACACCTGTAATCCTAGCTACTCAGGAGGCAGAGAGAGATTAGGAGGATCGTGGTTCAAAGCCAACCCTGGGCAAATAGTTCCCAAGAACTTGTCTCAAAAAACCATCATAAAAAAGGGCTGGTGGAGTGGCTCACAGTGTAGGCCCTGAGTTCAAAGCCCAGTGATGCAAAAGAAAAAAAACAGAGAGGGACAGATCAGTTCCAGTGGCTCACACCTGTAATCCTAGCTACTCGGAAGCAGAGATCAGGAGCATTGAAGTTCGAAGCCAGTTCAGGCAAATAGTTCTAGAAACCCTATCTTGAAAATACCCAACACAAAAAAAGGACTGGCAAAATAGTTCAAGTGGTAGAACACCTGCCTAGTAGTTCAAACCTCAGTACCACAAAAAAAAAAAAAGAGAGAGAGAGAAGGAACAGGGCTGGAGGTGTGGTACAATGCCTACTTAGCAAGCACAAGAATCTGAGTTGAAAAAAAAAAAATGAGGGGACAATGTCTTTCACTTCATCACTTACACAGCTATGACCTGTTCAGCTGACGATCTTTAAACTTCATGATGCCAGGACTAGGGGTGTAGCTCAGGGGTAGAGCACATGTTTGGTCTGCTCAAGGGCTCAATCCCTAGCACCAACAAAAAGGAAACCCACATGATGGCAAGGACCAATAGCTTTGTTCACCGTTGATTCCCCAGCACCTAGCAGAATATCCGGCACAAAGAAGGCCCTCAGTAAAAAATGAATGACAGGCTTCGAGAATCAGTGAGATCGTGTACAGAAAGCAAGTAGCAGCAGGCATGGTGGTACATGTCTGTAATCCCAGCAACTTGGGAGGCAGAACCAAGGAGGATCATGAGTTCAAAGCTGCTTCTGGCAAAGTTAGAGATGGAAACTCTATCTCAAAAACATTTCATGCCTGGGGAGCAGGAAGTGTTTCTCCCTTTTTTCCCATTTCTCCCACTTTTATCCTGTACTTTCACTATAAAAACAACAACAACAACAAAGAACAGCAACATCAAAAGGGCTGGTGGTGTAGCTCAGTCATAGACCGCTTGCCAAGCATGCTTGAGGCTCTGGATTAAAAAATAAAAGCCACTAGCATAGGACCCCACCACAATGGGCCTATCCTTGTTCATAGGAGTCTAACATTTAAGTGTCTCCCATAATCATGAAGCAAGTAATTAGGCACACATAAGCAGAACACAGGCTTTGTCTGACCCTTTTGCTATACCGCTTCTGTTACACAGTGGCTATCTTCTCTTCCCAGCGAATTTTTTTTTTTTTTTTTTTGTAGTGCTGGGGATGGAACCCAGGGCCTCATGCATGCTAGGCAATTTGCTCTACCACTGAGCTTTTAAACCCATTCTAGGGCTTTTAAACGGATAAACAGAACATATGCCATTTGTGTGAATTTTTTTTCAGGGTTCAATCCATTAGTAAATAGAGTACGTAGATAAATACTCTGCCTTTACATGAAGTTCAGGAAACCATCTCATTTTTTCCTTTGCTGTTTGTATGGTTCTCTCACCCAGGTACTGAGTAGTATAGACTTTTACACTCAGATTTTTCAAAGGAACATGGTAAGGAAGGCTTCAACACCAGCCAATGCGTATCTTGCCTTGCACTGAGAAAAGAAGATATGCCAGAGAAGACAGCTGACCACCGCCAGAAAGAATACATTGCTTCCTTGTCCCTGCCCCCATGAACCTTCTTATTCTTAGCAAGTCATGGTTCAAGAGGCACAAGAGTCACCATCTTGAAAAGCCTAACAGGTAAAAGTCCAATTAAGAGTCCTGTGGGCCTACCCAGGAAGTGATGGTGCTGTGGTCAATGGTCTTGCTGGGCACTTGTAGAGTGTGGGTGATGGGATGTTGTGGCAATACACAGGGGTGCTTGGGGCCCTCCAGTGGTTGTTGATGGAATAGCAGCTTGGCTTTCAGGGACCTTTGTTGAGGTCTTTTTTTGGGAGGCATCAATAGGTAAATGCCAATCAGTTAGTAACTGCATGATGCTGGTTGCCTTCGGGTTGAAGGAGAGGCTCCAAATCCAACCCATGCCTGTAGAGAAGAAATAAAAGCCAGGAGAAAATAACTCAGATGATTCCCTGGCTCTTCCTGACACTGCCAGCCAATCCTACCACAAACTACCACCTAGAACTCAAGGTTGTGGGGACACAGCTTCCTATACCTACACCACCAAGTGAAAACACACTATTCATATTCAACAACTCATACTATAAACATCATTGAGCCATGCTGGGTGCTAGAATTAAAGATGAATAACCTTTTATGCAACAATCATTTATTGAGTGCTAAGCACTTGTAGCCATACACATCTTCAAGGAACTGAGACAGGCTGGGGATGTAGCTCAGTGATAGAATGCTTGCTTAGCATTTATGAAATCTTAGGTTCAATCCTCAGTACTGCAAAGAGGCTTTCTGGATAGGGGAACACCTGACCTATGACTGGGAGGCATAGGGAGAAGCAAGAGAGCAGGAGGCACTCCGGCCTGCTCAAGAACATTTACAAGGCCTGTCTTGTAGCCAGATGTGGTGGTGCACACCTGTAGTCCCATCCAAGCACTTGGGAGGCTGAGGAAGGAGGGTCTCAAGTTCCAGGCCAAACTGGGCTACACAGATTGAGAAAGATTTGAGACCTTGTCTCAAAGAAACCAAACCAAAACAAAATGAAGCTGTCTTGTGAATTCGGGGAATTACAAATTCAGTGTAGTGGACATGGTGTCAAGACCAGATCAGGAAAGCCAGGCGAGGCATGAGTTTGGACTTGAGCTTGAACAGTCACCAAAGATTTTCAAACAGAACGGTGTTACACTTGGGTTCTTTTTCTTCATCCCAAGTACTTTAGAACATGAACAGACGTTGTCCTAATAGTATACTGGGCCCCCATGTACTCCTCACCCCCATCCAACCATCATCAACCCATACCAACAATCATGGGCCAATCCTGACCCACTCACAGCCCTATCCATTTCCCCTACCCTTGTATTATTCTGAAGAAAGTGTGTGTTTGGTCATTGTATCATTCCAACTAACATGACTAAATAAATGACCCACATATATAAATTCTGTAAATGTAATCAAATATCCAGATGTTCAAATTTTCAGTTGTTTCATAAACTTCCTAAGTGTTTTACTTACTTGTCTTTTAGACAGATCACCATGACAAGAGTACAAAAGGAGAGAACAAGTACCCTGAAAACAGGGGGATAGGTTAGGAGGCTACAGAGTCATCTAGGTGAGAAATGACAGGGGTCTGAACCTGGGCTGTCTCAGTGAGGTGGGAGACTAGCACAGAGACGGTTCACAGGCAATAAAAGTCTGAACAAGTGTCAACAGGAGGGATCTAGTAATCAAGCCACCTTTAATGGGAGCTTCCTCTATGGAATGGGGGGACACAGTTGGAATGCAGTGGGTAGAGAGGTAGATGAGAGGTGCAGCTGAGCATGGTGGGAAGCCCCACAGCAGGGCGGTATGGATCCATTATACACTGACCATTCATCCACTGATCAACAACAAACACAACACAGCCTTGGGCTGGCAGCCTGGCTCAAGTGGTAGAGTACCTGCCTTATAAGCACAAAGTCCTGAGTTCAAACCCCAGTACCACCAAAAAAGAATTAAAAAATAAAAAACCCCCACCACCTGACTTATGTGACTCAGCAGTGAAGATATGGGTAAAGAAAGGGGGCCAGGGGGAGGAATCACAAAATCTCTACCCTTAGAGAAACAGTATTTTAGGGAGGACACAGGCCTTTACAGGCAAGGGTAAGGATTCTACGTTTAATTATTCTTAAGGGGAACAGCGGCCACTGAAAGGTTCTGAACAAGGAAGTCACACACTCCAGTTTACATTTTGAAAAAATAACAACTCTAGAAACTTTATGAAAAAAACCCACTTAGAATCCAGTGGAGAGATGGGTTTGTGGCCATCGGCTGTAGTGAGAAGTGTTGGCATTTGTCACTTGCTGAAAGCCACCAGTGTCAAACAGGCATCACACTGCTCAGCAATTCCACCATGCTTATCAACTAGTTCTCCACAAAAACGATCTTAAAACTTTTCCACTTTCGTGAAACTTCAAAACACAACAAATGACCTTACTTCCTTGACAAAGAATACAGAATAAGCCACGTGGGGTGATACAACACTGTAATCCCCGCAGTCGGGAAGCTTGAGGCAGGAGGATCTTAAGTTCCAGGCTAGCCTGGGCTAATAGTTTATCTATCTATCGATCGATCGATCTATCATCACTGACCTCTTATTTGCTCCTTCACATGTATCTTTATCTGACTCAGGGCAATGTCCGTGCTCCCCTCTCCCCCATTAGAACGTACACAGGAGGACCGAGAGAACCTTGTCTGCCATCGAGCCCGGCAGTGCCCCGCACACAGCAGCTCAACGAATTCTGCTGACAGAGGACACAATGAAGCACAGAACCTGAAGGCTCGGTTCTGGGAGGGACAGGGGTGTGAAGAGCTGAGGCCGTGGCTTACGGGGCGTGCGTGCGGGTTTAGGATGAAAAAGACTCGAACCCGATCTCACGCCAGCCTGAGAGCTCGGCCTAGCCGGAGGGACCCAGAAAGGGGCCTGAGGGCCGCAGATGGAGGACAGGAGGGCGGGGAACCAGCAGGCCGAGAAGCCGCGGGGTCCCCGCGCTGCCCCCTCGCCCGCCCACCCGGGCCGCGGGCGCCCAGCGGCCCCGATGCCCACGGCCGCCGCCCCACGAGCCAGCCGCTGGGGCCGCCTTACCCGCCGGCGTCCCGGCTAGCCTCTCCTCTCCCGACACCGGGCCTTCGAGGCCGGAACGCGGAGACAGGCCGGCGCTGATTGGCGGCGTCGCGTCACGTGACCGCAACGCTCCGCCGGCGCCAATTTCAAACAGCGGAACCAACTGAAAGCAGCTCTGCAGGACCCCACCCCCGGCCCCGGCCCCGGCCCCCTCCCTCCCGGGATCCCCGGGTTCCCACCCCGCCCGCACCGCCGGGACCCGGCCGCCTGGCGCGAGTCCCCGTCCGGGCCTGGCTTGGCCCCAGCTTGGAGCGGCCGCGGCCGGCGGCGCTGCGGTCTGAGGTGAGCGGGGTGCAGGCATGGAGGCGGATGTCCGGCCCCGCAGGCAGGCAGGGAGAAGGGTTCGGGCGCCGCTTCCGCAAGGCCTGCGGGCGCCGAGGTGGCGGCGGCGGGCAGCGGGGCGCGGGGCGCGAGAGGAGGCTGGGGACCCCGGGAAGGAGGTCTGAATCAGGGCGCATGTTTTTTTCTGCATCCACCCGTTTGGCTTTGGTCTTGTAGCTTCTTTCTGCAAGCACTCCTTAGCTTTTCCTGGAAGAGTGACCTCTGCACCCCGCCCTTGGCTTCGGAGGGACTGGGGATGGCCTGCTTTCTGAGTGCGGGCTGGGGCTAGGCTGCAAACCGAGCTTGTCCTGCATTGAGTCAAAGACCCACTTGCCCTCGCTTTCCGACTCTCACCACCAAGCAACCCTGCCTCCAGGGTTTGAGGGCCCGGCCCCTGGCTCTGGGCATGTTGCAAGGTTTCTCTGTTCAGCACGGGGATGGGCGCAAAGGAGTCCAAGAAAAAATTAAGAATTAGATACCCTGTGTCCAATTGACGGGGGATGGAGGTGGGGGTTGGGGAGGAATAGGGCTGGAGAGAAATGAGGCAGAATTCAAACTAAGATTTGAAGAGAAACCAAGAGAGAAAGGAAGGGGAGGCCTCATGGTCGGGGAAGACCTGAGAACTCTAAGCAAATGGTGAATGTCAAAAAAAAAAAAAAAAAAAAAAAAGTGCAGTCGCTTTTTAAGGAGATGGCAGGTGTCTTAAAAAAGAGACAGCCAATTCCTCTGTTTCTCAAAGGACTCCAAAATAGAAAGATATGATTTTTACCTAATGGTAGAATAGTTCGTATAGATATTAAAAATATATTTTTTAAAACAGGTAAGACTATTTTCTAAGCATTTCAAAGCCCAGCTTAGCATATTAATGATGGCATATCCTGATGCTCACAGGGGTTATAGTCTCTGCTCTGAAAGAGAAATTAAGTAATAAAGTAACATGTTTACAAAGCTAAAATATGTATAAACACATGCGAATATTGAAATGTCACTATACAAACGTTTTGCAAATTGTGAAAGAAAATACACTTTTTATCTGCACCTGGTTGCAACCCCAGGCGATGCTTTTTCTGTCTGTCAGAGAAACATTCCAATGTGCTGTGGCTGCCTTGACCTGTCAGGGGTGATGCAGCTGCCTGGGAACACAGCGTGGAAAAAATAAATACTTTTTAAAAATTAATGCAAGAAGATTGGGAATATAAATCAGGGTAGAGCACTTGCCTAGCATTTGTGAGGCCTTGAGTTCAATCCCCTGTAATACACACACACACACACACACACAGAGATTCCAGGCGTGACCCAAACTGGCCTCAAACTCATGAGCCTCCTGCCTCATCCTCCAGAGTGCTGGCATTACACCACACCTGGCTTATCCTCTGATTCTTTAGGACTGATTTCCTCCCTACTCCACCACCCCGGCCCCCACCCCCGCCACTGGGGCTTGAAGTCAAGGCCTAAACCTGGAGCCACTCCACCAGCCCTTTTTTGTGATGGGTTTTTTCTGAGATAGGGTCTCATTAACTGTTTGCCAGGGCTGGCTTGGAACTGAGATCCTCCTGAGTAGACAGGATTACAGGCTTGTGCCACCAGTGCCTGGCTTGAGTGCCTGATCCTATTATTTACAAAGTAGCATGACAGAAGTACAAAGGCTTTTTGTCATATGGAATCAGTTTTGTCAGGACTCCTAATTACCATATGTCCTCCCATTCCAGCATTTTCCGGTCCTGTCCCTACAGTCACTGCAAGTGAGCTATCTGCATTACAGTAGGCAATAACAGAGACTTCCATGTTTTTGTAGATGTCTCACTCATTCTTGTGGCCATTCTTTTTTTGTGATACTGGGGTTGAACTTCGGGCCTCACACTTGCTAGGCTCTACCACTTGAGCCACTCCACAAAACTGTCAAACATTCTTAAGCTTCCAGGAGACTTTTGACTATCTCCTGCCCAGTTCCTCGTTCCCACTTTGAAGTGCTTCTGTTGGCTGCAGTTTTAGCTTCTGCTGGTCAGTAGGGCTCATCTGCTTATTGTCTAAGGTCTTTACAAAGCTCCAGGATCATTTACCTGGGCCTTTGGGCTCATGCACTTGGCCATACAGTGCAGAGGAACACTTTTCTCTCAAAGAATCCCTTCTCAGCCTAACAGATCTGACCTCCTGCTTCTCCTTGCCCTTTGCAGAGTCCATGCTGTGATTCTCAATGGAGAGTGAAAGCACAGATTCATGATGAAAACCAGCCCCCGTCGGCCACTGATTCTCAAAAGACGGAGGCTGCCTCTTCCTGTTCAAAATGCCCTGGGTGAGACATCAGAGGAGGAACCTAAAAGACCCCCTGCCCAACAGGAGCCTAGTCAAGCACAGGCCTCCAAGGAGGTGGCAGAGACCAGCTCTTGCAAGTTTCCAACTGGGATCAAGATTATCAACCACCCCACCATGCCCAGCACACAGGTGGTGGTCATTCCCAACAATGCCGACATCCAGAGCATTATCACAGCATTGACTGCCAAAGGAAAAGAGAGTGGCAGCAGCGGACCCAACAAATTCATCCTCATCAGCTGTGGAGGACCCCCAGCTCATCCTCCTGCCCTCCAGCCTCAAGTTCAAAGCAGCGATGATTCCAAAAGGACAGAAGTGATCACCGAGACGTTGGGCCTTAAGCCTGCAGCTAGGGATGTGAATGTTTCTAAGTCACCTGGAGCCCCTCCAAGGCAGAGACGGGAGAACTGTGGTACGTGGTCTGCAAGCCAAGGTGTGAGGAGTCTGGGCATCCATCTGTGGGAGCAAGGCCTGCAGTCAGTTGCTGCCTGCAATAGACAGGCATCCAGGCTGAATCAAGGACATTTCATCTTCCCTCATCCTGAAAGCTTGACACAGATCCTCTGTGCACCACCGAAAGGGTTATGGTTATAACTGTGCATTTCTGTTGCTTTATGTTGGAAAAGGCTTTGTTTTATCCTAAAGATAGTAAAGATTGATTTATTAGGACAGCAGAATTAATCCTCAAGGGGTGAAGTGGGTAGTTCAGGTAAACACTGACTACCTGGAAGCTGTGGGCCTTGAAGTTTTATCCAATCCAGTGGGGTTACCAGGTGGCATGAAACTGAGGGCCCTGCCCAAATGGTTTGGCCACTGTGCAGAGGCTGCCTGGATGGAGGAAGGCACACGCTAGGGCATTAATCCTCTTTGCCTTCCCATTTGTTCCCCTCTCCTACCCTTTCTGAGGCAGGGTCTGACTATGTATCCCGCTGGCCTCAAATTCATGATCTTCTGCCTCCACCTTCCTAATGCTGGTATTACAGGAATGCACCACCATGCTCAGCTTAAGGATTTGTTTATAATTTCAGTTAATTCTTTCCATTGATCCTATAAGGAAGTAAATCTCCATCCTAATAGAGGAGGAAGTTAAAGCATGGGGAAGAAAGGTGACTTTTTGTGCAGATATTCAGTAACCGATTTGTGAGGTTCCCTTGACAGATGTCTATGGTTCAGGCTGGCTGGTATTAAAAGGCAAATTGAACTACTCTTCTGAATTTCTCCTGAAGTCCACAGTGGGGCAGAGAAACTTTGAGCCACAGTAGACTCACCATGTATTCCCTGACCCTGAGGGTAGAGGTCTTGGAGGGGTGATCCCCAATCACCAGTTTTGACGGGTCTAGCAGGCATCTGATCAGGAATCTAATGGGGTCTTGGATTGTTCCGTCTAGCTGGGGCTGAGGCAGTGGGCTGCAGTCTGGACAACAGCCTAACCAATATCCAGTGGCTTGGGAAGATGAGTTCTGACGGGCTGGGCTCCTGCAGCATCAAGCAAGAGGTGGAGGAAAAAGAGAACTGCCACCTGGAGCAGACTAAGGTTAAGGTGAGCTGTTCTAGCACTTGCTCGGGAAGTCAGAGACAATGCAGGGAGTTTCTAAGAAGGGAGATGGATCAAGTGCCTTGCTGGAGTGGAATCTGTAAGTTCTAGTTTTACCACTGCATATGGTGCTCTTCTGTGTGACTTCTGAGCTACTTTTCTGTCTGGAATCTTTTCCTCCTCCATCTGTGACTTTCTGAGGGCAGATTCCCTGGCTCACTTTGTATTTCTCTAACAGTGAGATTAGTATCCTGCCCTTAATAAGTACTTGGTAGGTATTCAGGAAGTGATTAATAGGTCTTACTTTGGGAAGCCACTTGAAATTTAAAGAGGCATCCCAACAGTATGAATTGAATATATGAATTGAATATAGCACCTTCAGTAAGATAGTTTTTTGTAGTTTGTTTTGGCAGTACTGTTGTTTCTAGGCAAGTGCTCTTCTATACTATTTATTTTTCAAATAGGGTCTCACATTTTTGCCCAGACAGGCTTGGACCTTGATTCTCCTATTTAGGCTTCCCACATAACTGGGATGACAGCCACTTGCCACCACGCCCAGCTTTTTATTGATCGAGATGGGGTCTTGCTAACTTCTTGTCTGGGCTGGCCTGAGCAAAAATCCAATCTCCGCTTTGAAAGTAGATAGGATTACAGGTGTGAGCCACTATACTCAGTGAAAATTTACTTGGATGTATACATGAGTAAATATTAAATGAACTATATTTAAATATACAGCTATCCTGAATAAAGTTATGTCTCAATTTTTTTCAAGTGTAAATGATCAGATCTTTGCCTATGACTTAGCCAAATGTGTGAGTGTTGGAGATTCTTGTCCCATACTCTTGGGAATGTTTCTTTCATACAAACATTGAAATGAGTTTATTTACATCAGGAATAGAAAGACCTAGGCCTCTTGATCCAAAGGTCTGAAAAATGGGCACAAATTAGTATAAAATCTGTGCTTTGAGAGTCATAGTATATACCCGAACTGGAGAAGTTTCAACTAGAAGGGACCAAACTTTGTCATATCAAACAATATCTTCAACAAAGTGCACAACAGATAGTAAGTGGTTCCTGTTGGTAGGGTCTAGTCTAAATCATCTCCAAGATTCTTTCTAATCCTAAACTTTATTCCACTATGGAGCAGTGGTCTGAGATGAGTGTGTTTCTAATAATTTCTATGACATAAGACTCTCTTGGGGATGTTCTCAAGAGGCCAGGGCAGGGGTTGTTCTTGTGACCTCTTCCACATCATTGCCTTTTCTCTTTCCCTTTGGCTTCTCTTACCTTCAGGTTGAGGAGCCCTCGGGAACATCAACGTCCTGGCAGGACTCTATGTCTGAGAGGCCACCCTACTCTTACATGGCCATGATACAGTTTGCCATCAACAGCACTGAGAGGAAGCGCATGACCTTGAAGGACATCTATACTTGGATTGAAGACCACTTCCCCTATTTTAAACACATTGCCAAGCCAGGCTGGAAGGTAATATGTCCCCTAACCACCAAAGTCAAGGTCATGCTGGCCTGACAACTGCTTTGGGGTAGCAGTCATGTACAAAGGATGCTACAACTATAAACAAATGTGTCTTTTGGATTGACTTACTTCATCCCAACAAATCTAGGCAATATTAGTAAGAGCTCTGTAGCCACAACCTCACTACTCCCGAAAGTTTATGGGAGAGGCTTCAATGTAGCACTAAGCCCACCTTTGTGCCACACTGAACAGTAGTCCTAAGTACAGTAGCTGAAGTAAGTTTTATGAAAAAGTCTTACTGAGAAAAAAAAAAACAAACTGCCAGGCCTCATGAGCCCAATAAGATCACGTATCATTTCTAATGTGTAGCACTTTTCCTCTTTCTTCCTCCCTCCCTTCCTTCCTTCCTTGTTTTGAAATGGGATCTCACTATGTAGCCCAGGCTGGTCTTGAAGTCACAATCCTCCTGCCTCAGCTTCCTGAGTAGCTAGGACTATAGACATGCACCACCATGCCCAGCTGGACAGGCCTTTTCTTCATTTTCTGCATGAGAACACTGAGATACCTGGGAATTGATGTAGCTTGCGCAGTTGGTCAGTGTCAGAGTCACAAGGTAATTTGCTGGTGGAATAGCTCAGGTGGTAGAGCGCCTGCCTAGCAAGCATGAGGCCCAGCTGGACAGGCCTTTTCTTCATTTTCTGCATGAGAACACTGAGATACCTGGGAATTGATGTAGCTTGCGCAGTTGGTCAGTGTCAGAGTCACAAGGTAATTTGCTGGTGGAATAGCTCAGGTGGTAGAGCGCCTGCCTAGCAAGCATGAGGCCCTGAGTTCAAACCCCAGGGCCTTTTTTATTTAAAAAAAAAAAAAGCAAAGTATTTCTTGTGACAAATGATGAATTCTAAGCCATGGATAGTCTGTTTTGTTTCATTTTCCCCATAGTAGGACACTTAACTTCCTGGCTTCTTCCTTTCTCTCGCCTACTTGTCTTGGTATTGATTACCACTGCACAGTCTCTACTTTCCTAGCCTGTGGCAGCTGTCTTCTTTTTGTTACATTACACTGAAATTTTTTTATTGGACCTTTTGGTAGAAATGAGATTTGCCAGGCTAGGGGTGTAGCTCAATGACAGAGCACTGGCCTAGCACACACAAGGCCTGGAGTTCAATCCCCAGCACTGAAAAAAAAAAAAGTCAATAGGAGCTGGTGGCTCATGCCTCTGATCCTAGCTACTCAGGAGGCAGAGATAAGGAGGATCATGGTTCAAGGCCAGCTCAGGCAAATAGTTTGACAGACCCTATCTTGAACATACCCAACATTTACACAAAAAAAAAAAAAAGCTGGCAGACTGACTGAAGTGGTAGAACACCTACTTAGCAAGTATGAGGCCCTGAGTTCAAGTCCCAGTCCCACCAAAAAATTAAAATGTGGGATTTGCCAGAAAGGATAATCCTGTCAGACAGCATGTGGCCTCCTGTTTGCAATTCTGTGTTTGGTGTAGCCTGTCCCATACTGCCTATCTGTGATGCTGAAACCTGCCTTCCCCGTCACCACTTAGAAGCCTGGGTCCCAGATACCAATGTGTGGGTCATGTTCGATCCCCAGATCAGTGTGTTCCTGGATCTGAAAAACAAGGTTTCCAGGATCTGAGGAGTTGTTTGTTTGTTTTTGTTTTATTTTCTTAAAATAGGGTCTCCCTATTTTAGCAAGTTCAGGGTTGCCTTTGAACTTCCAGTCCTTCTGCCTAAGCCTCCTGGGTACTGGGATTACAAATATGTACCACCATGCCTGGCCACAGAAGTGTTTTTTTCTTAACTGATACCCCTGCACCTTTAGACCTTTCTCCACGGATGGTGTGATGGGTGGGAATCCTCTCATTTCTTCTGATGCCAAAGGATTAGCTCTGGAAAGCACAGGGGTCTGTCCTGCGAGCTGTTCCCACACCTTGACTGCCCAACTCAGTCTTGTCTCCTTTCTCTCCACATCAATCTTGAGGCAGAACTTGCTGGTGTAAAGTTCCTCCACGGGTTCTCCTTTTCACCTCAGTCCTGTACCATGATAGAGAACAGGAACAGAGAAGGGAGCTTTCAGCCCAGGGTCTATAGCTGAGGAGGTGGGTCAGGTCTTTATCACCAAGGATGTAGGGCTGAGGTTGTCGGTCTGTATTGTGTAGTCTCAAGAAGAAACCTGCCAACAGGCGAAGTTACAAGGACCCTGGGCAAAACCTGTGCCAAACATGCCAAGAGAGGCCATGTCTTGTGCCCCTCCCCAACCCTCACCCCCAGCTTCAGAAGCGGTGTTTCTGAAGCTAAATTAACTGTGGCCATCTCTCTTCCTTCAGAATTCCATTCGCCACAATCTTTCTCTCCATGACATGTTTGTTCGGGAGACATCTGCCAACGGCAAGGTCTCCTTCTGGACCATTCATCCCAGCGCCAATCGCTACTTAACGTTGGACCAGGTGTTCAAGGTGAGTGTCCTGGTTTCATCCACATAGGGCCAGAGTTGGAGGTTGTAGAGCTAGCTCAAAGAGGAACGAGACCTTGTGACACTATGATTTGATCAGGGGAGAGTCAGGAGCCTGCCAGCCAGTTAGTGACGTGCATAAAACACATTGTTGATAAATACCAAGTGACACTCCTTTGTGCTAGACCAAGACACAGAGGAGGACTGTTCTGACCCAAAATAGAGGACTTCCAAGCACAGTTTTTTTTGAACTCCCCTATGAATAAAAGTGGCCTGGAGCACTTTTACAACACAGCTTTCTGGCCCCTGTCTTGGTGTTCCTAATTCACTGAGTCTGGGATGGGCTGGGAGTTTGTATTTCCAATAAGTATTTCAGTGATTCATACAAAGAAAATCTGGGAAACTTTGATCTAAAGCTCTTCTTGGCTGGGCAGAGTGGTTCATGCCTGTAACCCTAGCAACTTAGGAGGCAGCGGTCAGGAGGATCTCAGTTCAAACCTAGACTGGGAAAAAAGTTATCAACTGACAGCTGGGCACGGTGGCACGCACCTGTCATTCTGGCTATGCAGATAGTCTAAATAGGAGGATTGAAGTCCAGACTGGCCTGGGCATAAAAGTGAGACCCTATCCCAAAAATAACTTGAGCAAAAAGAGCTGAGGATGTGGCTTAAGTGGTAGAGTGCCTGACTAGCAAGACTGGGGTCCTCAATTCAACACTCAGTACCACCAAAAAAAAAAAAAAAAAAAAAAACAACCCTTCTTTAGTCTAGAAACCAGAAACAGAGCCACCATCTTTTCAGAAGAAGCTGATATTTTGAGATTTCTGAGTGTCCATCAGGATACTGGCAACTATAACCACTTTCCTGGGAGGGACAGTTGTCCGGGGTGTCCTTTGGCATTCATCAGGAATAGATTTCTTCCCCGTCTGGTCAGATTGGCCACGCTGGTGGTAACTTCATCTCATTTCTCTCCCATTATGCCTGGCGCCCACCAGCCACTGGACCCAGGGTCTCCACAATCGCCCGAGCACTTGGAATCAGTAAGATTCTTTCCCTCTGGCTCGGGGCTTGGCCTTGTTTCCTTTTGCTGCTCAGCATGGCTTTAGGGGGCAGAGACACGCTGTTGGTGCTGGGAAGGGAGCCTGTGGCCATGTGACTGCCAGCTTTGAAAACAGCACCTGGAGGCCTCTGGGAGTAACCAGTGCGAGGCTGCTGGTCACTTGCCCACTTCTTCCCTTCCCATGGGCATCCCAAAGGTGCCTGAGCAGAGCAGGGCAGAGCATGGAATGGCAAGAGGACCTGCCACTGTAAGGACAAGCAAACAGCGTAGACCTTGCAGGCGGCAGTTCTCTTGGCTGGGCTTTTCTCTGCCCTCAGGTAGCTACATGCTTAAGCATCCCCTGGGGGTGGCAAGGACCATCCTGCTCTCAACTGTCTGGATGCTGTCTACCCTCTACTAAGGAAGGCTTGGGAGATTGTGCCTACCTGCGTCCATCCCCTCAGACTGGCCTTTTTTCCTGGGCTGTCGGTTAGCTCAAGTGCATCAGCTCAAGCTGGCAGGATTCCGCTGTCCCCTTTTACCTTCTTAACCTAGGTTTCTTTCTCTCCCAATCTGCCACAAGCAGCAGCAGAAACGACCCAATCCTGAGCTCCGCCGGAACGTCACCCTCAAAACGGAACTCCCACTGGGTGCACGTGAGTATGCGGGTCTCGAGCCCAGCCCTTGTCTGGGGATTCTTTTCCCAGCTTAAAGGAATCTGAGCCCAGAGAGCAAAATTCCTGGCCAGATGGGTGGACTCTGGGCTCTGCTGCTCTTGATCTCTCCTGTTTTCTCCTAGGACGGAAGATGAAGCCACTGCTACCACGGGTCAGCTCGTACCTAGTGCCCATCCAATTCCCAGTGAACCAGTCCCTGGTGCTGCAGCCCTCAGTGAAAGTGCCACTGCCCCTCGCGGCTTCACTCATGAGCTCAGAGCTTGCCCGCCATAGCAAGCGGGTCCGCATTGCCCCCAAGGTGAGCGTTCTCTTTTTCTGCAACGAGAGACTCCAGACAATTAAAAATGATGGACCTACAGCTTGTGAAATATTCTTCTAAGTGTTCCTTGAGAAACTTACAAATCTAGCTGGGTAAGCAAGTCACAAAAACACAGGGTAACTTAATAGCATTATAGTAGCTAAGAAGGAATCTGGATTTTGTTATAAGTGGTGTCAGAAGGCCCATAAATACCTGATGAGTTGGTAAGAATGCAGACAAGGGCAATTATGACACATGGACTGGGACGGGTGAGGAAGAGTTCAGGAGGCAGAAGGTCCTAGAAAGAAGTGGATCTGGGTGGGCTAGCACATGTGGACAGAGCACACTGCTGGGCAGCACATGGGCAGGAGATGTGGGTTTGAACCTTTGTTCCTGGTAGTAGTAGAGTAGACCCCCTTTCACTTGGGGTTTCAGCCTCAGTCCTGTTGGCATTTGGGGCTGGATAATTCTTTGTGGGATTGTGCACTGTTTTCCCACCATGTATCAGTAGCACCCCAGCTATGATAATTAAAATGCCTCTGACTTGCCCTGGGTAGAGAAATCATCTCTGGTTGGGCATCTTTGGTATAGTTTGGGGGAAAGTTAAGAAGGATAAGGTAAGATCACACTGATGGCCCATCAAGTTTGGACTTAACCCTGGGGAGACAGTTTTGTGAGCAAGTCTGATGTGTAACCAAAGTAAGGGGTGCCCTGCACCTCCTTTAGTGAGGTAGGAATGGCATGGACTCAAGTTGAGAGAGTTGGGTTGGCTTTTTCCTTTTTTCTTTTTTAGTGTAACAAGTTTGAACTCAGGGCTTTTTGTTTATAAAGAAAGTACTCTACTGCTTAAGCCACACCTCCAGTCTTTTGAAGATGAGGTCTTGAGATCTATTAGCCCAGGCTGACCTTGAAACTCAGCCTCCCAAGCAGCTAGGATTGCGCTGGTGGAGTAGCTCAAGTGGTAGAGCACCTGCATAGCAAGGTCCTGAATTCAAACCACAAAAAAAGTACAGCCAGAAAAAAAAACAAAAGTAGCTAGGATAACAGGTGTGACCCACCAGTGCTTGGCTGTATTGGCTTTTATTAATTTATTTAGAGACAGGACGGCCTTGAACTTATGATCCTCCTGCCTCAGCCTCCCTAGTACTGAGATTACAGATGTGTGCCAAGTCTGGCTCTTGCTTTTATTTTAATTTAAAATTTAATTTAATTAAAATGTGGAGGGGCCGGGGTTTGAAGTCAGTGCTTCGCATTGCAAAGTAGGCACTCTACAACTTGGGCCACACCTGCGGTCTGTTTTGCTTTAGTTATTTTAGAGATGGGTTTGGCAGTGGCAGGGGGCGGGGGAGGCAGTCCAAACTGTGATTCTCCCCAAACTCAGTTTCCAAGTAGCTAGGGTTACAGGCGTGAGCCACCAACACCCAGCTGTATTTAATAATTTTTAATTAAAAAATATTTTTAGGGCTGAGGATGTAGCTCAGTGGTAGAGCACTTGCCTAGCATGTCCAAAGCTCGTTCCCCAGCACAAATCAATCAATCTAAAATATGTTACACATGATATTATACATATCATACTTCTTCCCCCTCCCCCTTTTAGCTACATTCCATCTTCCCTCTCCTACCTTTACCCACATCACACCTGCTGCCCAGATAATAATGCATGTTAACCAGGGGTGGCTGCGCATGCTTGTAGTCCCAACTACTCTGCAGGCTAAAGTAGAAAACACAGCAAGATGCTAGCTCCTAAAAAAAAAAGATAATTTACTATGCTTTCTTCCCTATTTTAGCCATGCTCTTGGTACAGTATCCACACAGAGCCAACCACAGCCATTTTGTATATAACATACAATGCATAAAATACTGAAAATGTGACCATGGTGCCCATGTCTTTTCTTTGGCGGGGGTGGGGGCAAGGAATACTACTTGAATTTGAAATGCTTTGCCACTAGAGCCGCACCTCTTGTCCATTTTTGCTCTGGTTATTTTGGAGATGGGGGTCTCAAAAACTATTTTCTTGGGATGGCCTTCAACTGAGATCTTTCTGATCTCAGCCTCCCAAGTACCTAGGATTACAGGTGTGAGACACCAGCACGTGGTTAGGTTATTTGATAGGGTCTTGTATTTTTGCCTAGGGCCAGCCTAGATCTCAATCCTACTACTACTTAAAGCCTCCCACATAGCTGGAATTACAGGCTTACAATACCACATCCAGCTTATTGGTTGAGGTGGGGTCTGCTAATTTTTGCCCTGGCTAACCTTCTGCCTCCCATGTAGGTGGGATTACAGCCATGGGCCACCTCGCCCAGGTCTATGTCTGTCTCTCTCTCTCTCTCTCTCTCTCTTTCTCTCTCTTTGGTGGGACTGGGGTTTGAATTCAGCTTTGTGCTTACAAAGCAGGTGCTCTACTGCTTAAACCATACCTCCAGTCCATTTTGCTCTGGTTATTTTGGAGATAGGGGTCTATCGAACTATTTGCACAGGCTAGCCTTGAACTGCAATCCTCCCAATCTCAGTCTCCCAAGTAGCTAGGATTACAGGCATGAGCCATCAGCATCTGGTTTATGTCCATCTTTTTCTAACTGAGCATACTTCATGAAAGGCTTATGTCACTTGGCACAGTTCTAATTCATCGTTTTTAGTGTCCATATAATTTCCCATAAATATCTTAACTCTTCTACTTTCATGGGCACATTTTGTTCCTTTTTTGCCCTATAAAAACAATAGTGCAACAAATTTATCTTTTTTTTTTGGCTGTACTGGGATTTGAAATCAGGGCTTCATGTTTACTAGGCAGGCCTCTACCACTTGAGCCACTCACCCATCCCTGTAATAAATATCTCACTAGTGCTTTTATATTTATGGGATAGAGACCTAGACATGAGATTGCTGTGTGAAAAAAGAGATTATATTCCACAGAAGGTGATTCTTCACATGTCATCCAGCCATACGTGATAATATCTGTCTTCTTAATATTTGCCAGTGTGGTGTGTGTAACTCCTATCTTTAATTTTGCCTTTCCTTATTCAGCACTAAGTTTGAGCACCTTCTCACTAGGTTTGGTCATTTGAAGTTGTTCTCCCAAATTGCTTCTCTGTGGACATTGCCCATTTTGCTACAGGGTCTTGCTATTTATTTGCAACAGCTGTTTTTTGTTAAAATATTAGCCTATCTTTTGTGCTGAAGATATTTTTCTGCTTGTATTGTTTCTTACCTTGTTTATGGTGTCTCTAGCTAGAGTCAACATTTAAATTTGTATGTAGTCAAATACGTTTCTCTTTTACAGCTTCTGGTCTTCCCATCTTGGTTAAGAAAGGCACTCCACCATCAGATTGTGCCTGTAGGCTCCCTACATCCTCTTTCAGAATTTGTATAGGTGTCAGGTTTTAATTTTTAAATTTAAGTCTTTGTTATAAAGGGGTCCAATTCTCAGCACCACAAGAAAGAAAAGTCTTTGTATACAGTATAAATAAGTACCCAATTTTATTTTCTTCCAGGTAGATACTAATTATGCCAGTACTATATTAAGTACACACTTACCTTTTATTTTCTTTTTGGTGCTAGGGATCAAACCCAGAACCTTGTGCTTGCTAGGCATTTGCTCTACCACTGAGCTATGCCCCCCAGTCCCAACAGTCTCATATCTTACCCTAGAATTAAACTGCCACCTTCATCATATATTATATTCTCATGCTTAAAAGATTTTAAGACAGAGAGGGTGAATTCAACTATGATATATTGTAAGAACTTCTGTAAATGTCACAATGTACCCCCAGTACAACAATTTAAAAAAAGTTCAAAAAAAAAAATGAGAAGCCAGGTGTTGGTGGCTCATGCCTGTAATCCTAGCTACTCAGGAGGATTACCGTTCAAAACCATCCTGGGGCAAATAAGAGACATTATCTTGAAAATACCCAACATAAAAACAGGACTGGCAGAGTAGCTCAAGTGGTAAGAGCACCTGCCTGGCAAGTATGGGGCCCTGAGTTCAAACCCCAGTGCTGCCAAAAAAAGAAAAGATAAGAGCTGAGGGTGTAGTTCAGTGGCAGAGCTCTAGCCTAGCACAATGTTCAAGGCCCTGTCTTTAATTCCTAGTACAAAAAATAAAAGACAGGGGTATTGGTTCTAGTATGTCACTCAGTGTGGTTCTGTGGCATTAGGCTGAATGTGAGATGTGAGCTCTTTTACCTTGCCTCCACTTCCCTTTAAGGTACTGCTGGCTGACGAAGGCATAGCCCCTCTTCCCACTGCAGAACCGGTGAAGGAGGAAAAGCCCCTGCTTGGAGAAAGGCTGTTGCCTTTGCTTCCAGTTCAGTCTATCAAAGAGGAAGCAATCCACCCTGGGGAAGACACACCACACTTAGTGAGACCTATCAAAGTGGAAAGCCCTCCCTTGGAAGAGTGGCCTTCCCCATGCCTGTCAGTCAAAGAGGAGTCGTCTGTGTCCTGGGAGGATTCATCCTGCTCTCCCACCCCACGGTCAAAGAAGTCCTTTAGTGGGCTTAAGTCCCCAGCCCGCTGTGTCTCAGAAATGCTTGTGATTAAACGAAGGGAGCAGAGGGAGATGAACCGGTCTCGGAGAAAACAGCACCTGCAGCCTCCCTGTCTGGATGAGCCCGAGCTGGTCTTCTCGGAGGGCCCCAGCACGTCCCGAAGAGCCATGGAGCCCCCATTCCTAGCAGAGTCCTCAGAGCCTTTCTCCCAGCTTGGCTGCCCCCAGGAGGAGGGAGGACCTTTTAAGACACCTGTCAAGGAGACACTGCCCATCTCTTCCACTCCAAGCAAGTCTGTTCTCCCCAGAACCCCTGAGTCATGGAGGCTCACACCTCCAGCCAAAGTGGGGGGGCTAGATTTCAGCCCAGTACGAATCCCCCAGGGTGCCTTTGGGCCCCTGCCTGACTCCCTGGGGCTGATGGAGCTGAGCACCACGCCACTGAAAAGCATTCCCCTCTTTGACTCACCCCGAGAGCTCCTTAACTCGGAACCCTTTGATCTTGCCTCTGACCCCTTCAGTAGCTCTTCTCCCTCAGATCTGGAGGTCCCCAAGCCAGGCTCCCCAGAGCCACAGATCCCCAGCCTTTCAGCCAACCGCTCTCTCACAGAAGGCCTGGTTCTGGACACAATGAATGACAGCCTCAGCAAGATCCTGCTGGATATCAGCTTCCCTGGCCTGGAGGACGACCCGCTGGGCCCTGACAACATCAACTGGTCTCAGTTCATTCCTGACCTTCGGTAGAGACAAGGCCTTACCCTTGCCCTTGATGCCTCAGCTGTCCATCATTCTGGGTGCTCGTGTAGCTGGAAAGTCCAAGGCTCAATGCACCGTAGACCCCCGAGGGAGGAGTGTAGGCAGGGACCACACTGCTTCTCGTAGCTCCACCAGGCCTGATTATGCTGAGGTAGTAGTCACACCTTAGTCGCTGCCAGAACCTTGCAAGCAGCTGGGTCTTTGTAACTGGTCTCAGTGCCACACACTCTCCCAGAGAATCTGATTCCTGTACTCTTCCTGCCAGGAGCTGAAGGCTGGGAATGACCAAAGTAATGTTGAAAAGAGATAAGGAAGTCCCCATTCCGTTTCTATCTGTGCCCAGCAGTCCCTCACCTTCCCTGCTCTTTGCAGGGTGGCCCCTGTAAATAGTGTAAATTCTCCAAATTCTCCTCTAATTATAAATGTAAGCTTATTTCCTTAGATCATTATCTAGAGACTGCCAGAGGTGAGTAGGACAAGGGGTTGCACTTTGCTTCTGTTCCTGGCTTTGGTTCCTAGAGAGGGAAGGACCTGCAGTGCACGGTTTCTTCCAGGCCAAAAGTACCTGGCTCAAGAGTTCTTTACTGTAGGCCCTAGTCTGCTTGCCAGGATCCCTTCTCTTGCCCCTCCCACTCACCTCCACATGTTCCCAAGCCAGCTTTCCCGCAGGAAGAAATCCTGGTTCAAAAGGTCTCTTGTATTGGGTCAAAAGTGTAATTTGGGGTGGGGGTGGATGCATCTGAAGCAGTGTGGGTACCCAGATGTGCCCCATTAGGTGTTTCTCTGATCATGCTAATCATGCCAGGGAGAAGGACCCTGACCTGCCTGGCTTCCTTAGCTTGCACCTCAGCTTTGCCAAGAGCCACCCTAGGCCCAGCTGGCTACATGTATGTGAGCCAGCTCCAGAACACTACTGTAACTACCTACTGAATAAAATCCAGGGTGGAACTGCCGGTCTCTGCTGGTCTCTGCTCTGTTGGTATCTAGGGGAGCTGGGAAAGAAGGGGTGATGATGGAAACTGGTGGAGAAGAGGCAAGGCCTGCAGCTGCCTGGGGGAGCCCTTGAAGGAGAGTACACAGGCTTTTGCATGAGTTCCCTCCCTGACTCTGAAATGGCTACATGCTGAAATTACCAGTTTGTTCAATGCTGGTCCTGACAAGAGTCCAACCTGCTGCCCAGCTCTTCTGAAAGGCAGCAAGGACCCCAGGGACTGCACAGCCTCCTTAAGACAGGTAAGAGCCTCCACCCTGTAGCTCCAGTCAGAAAGCATCACCATAGCAACCCCAGCAGCAAACAATGGTTCAAGAAAGGGCTCCCCACAAAGCCACTATCATGGCTCTGAGGCCCAGAGCAAGAATGACCAGCAACCCACAAAGATCGCCCCAAGGCCCAGGGCCAAGTGATGCATGTCGTACCAGAGAGCCTTTCCTGCAGGTAGGGGGTGTGCCTTTCCCTCTGATGGGCCAGAGCCTGTCCTTGTGGTGAGCTCTGCTTTTTCCTGGGCAACAGGCCTCTGGCACAAAAATTCTCCTGTCTTCCCCCTTTTAATCCTGTAGCATTATGAACACAGAGCTCAGAATAGAGGAGATGCCCAGTGGGCACAGGTTGAGTGTACCTTTTGAGCCCAAAATGCTTGAGACCAACCAGAAGTGTTTCTGACTTTGGAGTTTGGAATACCTTGGGGATAAACATGAAATTCATTTATGTTTTATATACACTTTATATACATAGCCTAAAGGTAATTTTGTACAATACATTTAGTGTGTCTGCATTTTAACTGCAACCGGTCACATAAGGTCAGGATAGAATTTTCCACCTGTGACATCATGCCCATAACTCAGGAAAACTCAGATTTGGGGCATTTTGGCTTTTGGATTTTTAGATTAGGGATGTTTAGCCTGTAACTCATCTTTCAGACTACTCTCTCTGGGGTGAACCTGAGGACCTGTCCATGAGTCAGGCTCTGTGCTGTGTAACGCTACTTCACACAGTTGAGTGCTGAAAATGAGCACAGAAAGCTCAAGCTGCTGCTATGCCACTCATTCAGTGAGTTCCTCACCTTCATCTAGTCTTGCATTCTGCATCTGACAAAATACCTGAGATAAGCAACTTAAAGGAGGAAAGGTTTTTTTGGGCTCACAGTTTTAGGGGTTTCTGTCCATGGTTGCTTGGTCCTGTTGCTTTGGATCTGTGGGGAGGCAGCACATCATGGTGGGAGCACATAGAAGTGAAAACTGCTCTCCTCATGGTTGCTGGAAAGCAAAGAGAAAGATAGGAAGATGGGCTGGGGGTTGTGGCTCAAGTGCTAAAGGGCTCACCTAGCAACATGAGGTCCTGAGTTCAAACCCCTGTAAAGGGTACTGGGTGTTGGTGTCTCATGCCTATAATCCTAGCTACCTGGGAGGCTGAGATCAGAAGATCTCTGGTTCTAGCCCAGCCCAGGCAAATAGTTTGCAAGACCCGTCTCCAAATAACCAGAGCAAAAAATGGACTGGAATGTGGCTTAAGGTGTAGAGTGCCTGCTTTGTAAGCACAAAGCCCCAGTCTCACCAAAAAAAAAACAAAAACAAAAACCAAACAGTACTGCCAAAAGAACCCCTCCCTGTAACCTTCCTTCCACCAGGCTCCATCTCCTAAAGGACCTACCACCTCCCAATAGTGCCACAGGTTAGGGACCAAACCTTTAACATGTGGGCCTATGTCCCCATAATGGGGACAATAGCAATACTTCCTCATAGAGGTGTGAGGATTAAATGAGATGCACAAAAGTAGAAAGCACTATGTCAATACATACATTTTATTTCACAGACAGAGCGCAGATAAAGGGAGGAAGTAACATTCTAGATGTTTCCATACTTGCTTGCATTTTAAGGAAAAGTGAGTGAAAGCAGCAATGACAGAGCAATAAGTAATAAGAGGAATCTGGGATGGAAAGACACCTGACCCTGATTTCTAGAGAAGAGCCTCTCTCCCAGGCCTGATGGGCCAACCTCTTTGGAAGACCAGTTTCTGGGCAGGAATGTGGGGGCACCAGAATGGAGGGGGGTGAAAATGAAGAACGAGAGTTGAGAGAGGGTGGGAAATCAAAGCCAAAATATGAAACTATGGAAAGAGCAAAATTTGAGCAATCCCTGAGAATAACACAGAGAATAACATAGTAACTTCCAGTGAGCAGGACAGGAATGGAGAGATGGCTCCCCACCACATCCTGATGATGGTCCTGAGCTGGAGAAGGTTGGCAGCCCAGGCCTGGGAAAGACAGCAGAGTGCCTCGCCCCCTCCCTGTGCCCCTGCTGCACAGCTACCCCAGGGTCCTTTCTGTTTCTCCCCAGATGGTCCATGCCAATGACTCCCTCCCAACCCACCAAACGTGGGTTCAGCGTGAGTTCCTCCTCCCCAGGGAGCCCTGGGGATTACCTGGCTTCACCCGGCAAGCCTACCACCGGCTGGCCCTGAAGCTGCCACCCTGCACAGAAATGAAATCCGAGGTGCATCACCGCCTGATACACCCGTGGAAGAACGCAGCCCAGCACACCTGGGGCTTTCACACGTGGCTCGACGTGGGGCGTTTGCCAGCCACCTTCCCCACACGGCTTGACAAGCCCTACGATAGCAATGTCTGGCGCTGGCTGACCCATGCCCATGGCTGCCCCCCAGCAGAGCCCCCCATACCCCCTCCTTCCTGGATGGGCCCAAACAGCTTCCTGACCTTCATCCACTCTACCCCCATGTTCTTGGACACGAACAGAAAGAACCAGGTGATGATGAAGGTGAAGAGGGAACTGAAGGAGGTGGAGAAACTTAAGCTGAGGAGTGAAATAAGGGCACCTCCACTTGACACGCATGGCAACATTCTGCCCCCAGCGAACTTCAAGAAGTAAGATTGCCCCTGCCTTAGAGAGCTGTGCACAGGTGTCCCCTCCTTCTGGTGTCTAATTTGGTACTGTAATCTTCCTTTCCCATTGACGGTCACCTAGCCTTTTTTTTTTTTTTTACAGTGCTGGGGATGGAGCCCAGGGCCTCTTGCATGCTAGACAAGTGCTCTACCACTCAGCCACACCCAAGCCCCTTACACTGTTTTCTGAATTAACTGGAAGGATGAGGTGGAGGAGGAAGAACAGCAAATGGAGGCACTTAGATATCTGACTAAAATACAACTAATTCTGGGTCCTGGAGAAGCTGAAAAATGAGGTTCAGACCCTGCCTTCAAGGAGCTTATGAAAAGACAGCACCAACCCCAGCCATGCCTAGGACATGCCTGAAGTGTGAGACAGACAGTGGGTGTTATAAGGAAGTCCATTATTATTCTTTTGTTTGTTTTGGTTTGTTTTTTGAGACAGTCTCACTATGTAACCCAGGTTGGCTTTGAACTTGTGATTCTCCTGTCTCAACCTCCTGGGTGCTAGGATTATAGGAATGCACCACTATGCCTGGCTATTCATTTTTGTTTTTTGTTTTGTTTTGTTTTTGCCAATGCTAGGGGTACAACACAGGGCCTTGTGCTTGCTAGGCAAGTGCTCTACCACTGAGCCACAGCCACCGCCCCTCATTATTTTTTTAACCTGAAAAAGAACACACAAATGGATCACATGCTTAAGGTGTGGGAGTATTAGGCTCCAAGATATTCACTGTTAATGGAGAGAGACCTGAAATGAAAGCTGGAATCAGAAGCCCTGGAATTAAGTCCAGAGAGCATTACTTTGGCAAGTGGCTTAGTTCAACCCCCTCATGGTTCAACCCCTACATTGACAAAACAGCAATCATAAAAACCTACCTCATGGGCAAGGATGAAATGGGTTAGTGAATGTGTAAAAGAGCTGAACCAAGGGCTGGGGGTGTGGCTCAGCTACATGGCACTTGCCTAGCACATACAAGACTCTAGGTTCCAACCACAGCATGGGAAAGGGAAGGAGGGAGGGAGGGAGGGAGGGAGAAAGGGGAACTAAACCAAAATTAGATGTCATTAGAGAAATTCAGAAGGCCAGACTGCTGCACTGGAGTGTCCCCCTCCACCCTCCAAAGGCTTAAATGCAGAAACCAGGGTTAAGGCTGGAAGACTTGGGCTGAGCTCCAGGCCCAGCTGAGTGGTTGGAGTGGAGACAGAAATGAAAGGAAGCGTTTGAGAACCCACAGCTCCTCCCTGCCTGCCCCTGGTGGGAACTCACAGATATTCCCAGATCTTGTCCAGTCCAGGTTTGGGCGTGGGTAACACGAAAGGAAGCAGGAAGCAAAGACAGAACAAGGGCATCAACCAAAGCATTGATGGGTTAGAGACAGAGGCTGTGGAGATTTTCATCCTGGGGCTGTGGCTCAGTGGTAGAGTGCTTGGTTAGCATGCATGAGGCCCAGGTTCAAGCCCCAGCACTGCATAAATAAATAAATGATGCCAAAGATTGGTGGGTTTTTTTGAGATTAGGCAGGACATTGTCTTCTTTCTGCTGTCCTGCTGTGAAGACTGTTGGTAGCTAATATGTCTGACACTTAGTCATCCAAAGTGAAATAAAAATTGGTGCCCTCTTCAAAGATTCAGTGGAAGCCAAGTGCTGGTGGCTTACACTATAATACTAGCTACTTGAGAGGATTATGTATTGGGAGGATCATGGTTCAAAGGCCAGCCCAGACAAATAGTTTGCAAAACCCCCTCTCCAAAATAACCAGAGCAAAATGGACTGGAGGTATGGCCCCAAGCAGGAGAGTGCTTGCTTTACAAGTGTTAAGCCCTGAGTTTAAACCTTAGTGCCACCCAGCAGTATTATTGAATGAATCCCTTGGGACCCTCACATAGAACCAAGGGCCTCAAACATGCTAGGCAAGCGCTCTATCCCTGCACCAGTAGATAGAAACCCACTGACCCCATTTTACAGATGGGGCATCTGAGATGGAGAGGTCAGCCCAAGTTCACACAGCTCCCAGGTCGCAAACCCACTCTCTTAAATTCTTTGAGCCTCACTTTTCCCAAGAATGCATTGGAGATGGGCCTGCTACCTTGCCAGTAAATGGCCTGGTGACTGGCATACAGAAGCGGTGAATGAAATGGTCACATTTAGTGTGACATCTACATGACAGAGTAGGAACCTGTTGTGGGTGCATCCTCTGGAGCCAGGAGCAAAGGAATGGGTCTCAGACAAGATTTGGTTTTGGCGAGTGCTGAGGATCAAATCCAGGGCTTTGTGTATGCTGTGTGTGCTCTGTACCACTGCCCTCCATCCCTAGCCAATCAGACAATGTTTTACTTTCTCCAGAAAAAGAGTATCTGAGCTGGACCTTGAAGGAGTTCTACAACTTCAGCAGTTTTGTAAAGGAAGGCTCAAAAAATTGTTAAATAAAAAATGTCTCCGGGGCCTGCTGAAGTAGCTCATTGGAGAAGTGCATGCTTAGTATGTACAAGACCCTAGGTTTGATCCCCAGCACAAGAACAACAAAAACATATAGACTGGTCAGTGAGTAGGTTTGGAGCACTAGCAATCCAGAGGACTTTGGATATCTAAGACAGATCTAAGCTCTCTAAGATGCTGTGATCTTGTTGGAGAAATAGAACATTAATTTATGACCCCAGCAGTTTCTAGTCTGGTGCCAGTGGTTCATGCCTGTAATCCCAGCTACTCAGGAGGCAAATGTAGTCATCCAAGGCTGGCCCAAGCAAACAGCTCATGACTCCATCTCAAAAATACTAAAAGCATGCCAGGTGCTGGTGGCTATAATCCTAGACACTTGGGAGGCCTCTGATATCAGAGTTTGAGGCCAGCCTGTGAAAATAGTTCACAAGACCCCCATCTCCAAAATAACCAGCACAAAATGGACTGGAGGCGTGGCTCAAGTGGCAGAGCCACTGCTTTGCAAACACGAAGTACTGAGTTCAAACCCCAGTCCCATCAAAAACAAAACAAAACAAAACCAAAGGTGAGGTTTAGGCTGCATCCTGGAGATTCTAACTTAAATGATCCAGGAACATCCTAATGTGGCATTTATTATAATTATAATTATTATTATTATTACATATTTGGTGTTTTTTAAAGTCAATTTCCTACCGTTCAATTTAATACTGCAGGCCAGCTGAGAAGAGGAAGTCATCCGCTGAGCTGAGTACAGCAGTCCTCCCATGAGAACAGCAGTAGTGGAGAAGGTGAGACATGAAGGACAGTTAGAATCCAGATAAGAGTCTGGATAATGGAGCCGGACATAGTTGTGCACAACTGTAATCCCAACTCTCGGGAGGCTGAGGCAGGAGGATAAAGAGTTTAAGCCGGCCTGGGCTATATAGTAGGACCCTATCTCAAAAAAAGGTCCAGATAATGGGGCTTGGAGCACTTGCCTAGCACATGTAAGACCCTGGCTTTCATCCCCAGCACTGCACACCTGCAAAAAACAAATCCAGAGAGTGACATTATATGTAATATTCCAAAGGATGGAAGGTTTACTAGTTAGACAACATCTCAACCTAACACCAAACTCCTACCTTGGGTGCTGGCCACAGATACACACCCCATGAGGAAGAGACAGTAGGGACAGCTAGCTATCCCTGGCTAGCTGGTGAAAGACAGTGTCACCTGCCCCGGAACTCTCCCTTGACCTCTCTGTTCTTTCTGCACCCCTGCCCCAACAGGACCAGGAACGTATCTACTGGTGGGAGGTTTGAGCCTCAGTGCTTCCAGCTCCTGCCCATCCCTCTTCCTACTGCTTCTACCCGGGGCTGGCCCTGACCCAACCCTCTGCCTCATTACCAGAACACAGCACAGAAACTGGCCTTGCTGCCCAGTGCGCCACTGAGCCAGGACCTGGTGAGGGATTACCAAAGCCTGATAGAGAACCGCATTGCCAAGCCTCTCCACTATCTGTCTAAAGCACAACCTAGCCAGACCTCAGGGAGGAACAGGAAGAGAAGACCTGGCCATATCTAGAAGAGCCTCCAATGGGTGCAGATGAGCACATGGCTGCCAGGTGCCAGCGCTCTCCATCAAAGCTCCTTCAGCAGGGAGCCTGGGGTGATTGAAGGACTTGCTTCTGCACTGTCCTCCCAACCTCCAGCCACCTCTGTACTCCAGGCTCCTGAGACACTACTGAAACTCTCAGTTGTTCTGTATCTTTCTTGGAGGATTCATGGCAGGTGGGAGGATTGGGGTACGAGGGTGGGGAGCAGCGGGGACAGAGAGGGGTTCCAGAACTAAGGATAAAACAAGGATGGAGAGGAAGGAGTGTGTGTGTGCATGTGTGTGTGTCTGTGTGAGTGTATGTTGGAGTGGGGAAAAGGTACTGTGAGAGATGTAAGTAAAGGACTGGGGGAGTGGCTCAAGTGGTAGAACACCTGCCTAGAAAGTATTAAGTTCTGAGTTCAAACCCCAATACCGCCAAAAAAAAAAAAAAATCACCTAAGCCAGACTTCTATGGCATGTTTTCGCTCATATGCGGAATCTAGACCTAAAAAAAAAGAATGACACAAGTGTGCAGCGGGACTGCTTGGGGTTGGGGATCCAGCAGAAGGGGGGAGCCTGAAGCAGGGTGAATATGATCAAAGTATTTCATACTCATGTATGAAAGCAGAACCGGTTAAAAAAAATGCTGAAAAAAGGGGAAAGGAGGATAAGGAGAGTAACAGAATCTCTGCTACCATTTCCTGCATGGGGGGTGGGGGGGAGCAGGAAATGTTTCTCCCTTTTCTTTCCATTTCTCCCCATCTTTATCCTGTTATAGTAAATTCCTTTCCTAATAAACTTTACTATTACTTTTACTAAAAAAATAAATAAATGGTGTTCACACCTGTGATCCTAGCTACTCAGGAGGCACAGATCAAGAGGATCACAGTTTGAAACCAGCCAGGGCAGACAGTTTGCAAGATCCTATCTCAAAAATACCCATCACAAAAAAGGGCTGGTGGAGTGGCTCAAGGTGAAGATCCTGAGTTCAAACCCTAGTACTGCAAAAAAAAAACAGTGATAGAGGAGGTAAATTTGGTCAGAATACATTGTATGTATGGATGGAAATATCATAATGAGAACCTTTTGTACAATTAATATATGCTAATAAAAATAAATTTTAAAAGAGATGCAGGGGGAGCAGGGGGGGAGAAATGACCCAAACAATGTATGCACTTGTGAATAAATGAATTAAAAAAAAAACGAGAGAAATGCAGTGAGAAGTTGCCTCCAATCTTACAACCCATTGGGACCAGACAGGAGCCATTTGGGCAAAAACAGCCTCCAAACCCCCCTCCCTGGACCATCTGATGTCTGGATAAAGACCAGACACAACTGTGCTTGGGTGCAGGTCCCCCTGCAGGGTTTGGGAGTGGGCACTAGTCTGGTTCAGGCTGGTACTGGAGAACAGGAGAGTCAGGCTTGAGGGAGGCTAGCCATGGGCAGGAGTCGAGCAGAGATTCCAGGTGAAAGTTACAGCAGTCAGCTCAGATTATCACCTGAGGGCCTTGGGCCTGTGCTGCAGTTGACTCCAGAGGCCTCAGCTTTTGCTCAGAGCCAAAGTCAGAGATAGAGACAAGGCCTGAAGTGGAGTAGGCAAAGAGAGAGTCAAAAAGGAGCTGACCCTAGCCAGGGTGCAGGTGACCAGGGGGAGCAAGAGCCCTGGTGGACAGGGCAGTGGGGAGGTGGCCGGATAGGGAGAAGTTGGTGAACAGAGGCCTGCTCA